TTTTTTAGTATGTTGGTTTATTAGAGAGTTTTAAGAATTTTGAAAAGTTGAGGTTGTAATCATGACACTTTGTTTTAGTTGGGTCAGAACATATCTGTTTTGCTTATTTTGGCATCATTAGTTGATTTTTTTTGTTATCTATCCAACAAGACCAATATCTCATGAATCTAAGGTGTTTTGAGAGAGCAATTGTCTTTTTACCAATAGAGTGTCAGTCTATGACAAGACTGGAGTCTTTCTAGTTCTGGATGTACTATGGAGTAGCTTTTGGTTTGTTTAGTTCTAGTAGGATTACTGATGAGTCTATTAGAGTGTGTATGAATAAATCTTTCTACACTATCTAAGGTCTAAGCCTAGGTTCCTTTTGGCCTTTTTTTTGTCCTTTTAGAACCTTCTTCTTGCACCAAATTACTCTCATTGATGCAGACATTGTCAAAGCATCTTAATCTACTTTTTATCATCTTGTTGCCAATTTAATGCTGCCCCAAATTCTGGTTTATCTCTCCTATATCTACCAGACTATTACTCATTTGTCTCAACATCCTCATCTATTCCATACTGACCTTATAGATGTTTTGTTTTCTGATCTCCCAATGTTATGAACTGTGCTCTTCAAGGAAATACAAGTTAGGTATGGGCTATCAATCAACTAAAAACTAGCTTTAAGTTAGTAATGTGTGACTTTTTTTACTGGAAACGGTAACTTCATTAATACAACTTAAGAATAACTTTCCAGAGTTAAGTACAGCTGTCAACCCCTAAACAGCTGTTGAGCCCCCAGTAATCTTTCTTACAAAACTGCCCAGGACATTCTCTCCCTCACAGTTCCTTGTTTAGCCAACGTGTCAGCTAAACCATTAGCTGATTTCCTTGTCCATTTGAAGCATGCCCCAATCTCCCTTGTTGTGTTGAGGATTTCTCTTATGGGCTGTCTATAAATCCAGGCTCTCAACTTACCAGATTGCAGCCACTCAATCAACAATTTAGAGTCTCCCTCTATCTCAATTTTCTGTAACCCCAATTGTCTGGCATATCTTACACCTTGAAGCAAGGCCATCACCTCCGCTCTCAATGAGTCCCCCACTCCTATTGGTCTTGAAAACATAGCCACAGTTCTGCCATTTTCATCTCTGAATACTCCTATACCTGAAGGGCACTGGTTACCTCTAGAACTCCCGTCGAAGTTCAATTTCACTCTTTGTTGTGTTGGTGGGGACCACAATTCCTGCACAATAGGTTTTTGGAAGTTGTAGATGCCACCACTTCCCAATTCCTGTAAATGTCTTCAGCTGAGAAGTCTTTAAACAAATCCAAAGTTTTCAACCATTGAATAGTCATAATGATTATCCTTTCTACAATTGCCTCCTTGGATTTCTCCACTCCTTTAAAGATTCTATTATTTCTTTCTTCCCAAACTGACCATAAGATAGCTGCTCTTGTGATTTTTTCAGTCACACATTTGGGGACATTTTGTAGTGTCAGGAGAAGATTTGATGGATCATGGATGTTCTGTAAAAAGATAGGATCTATTTATAAGTAGGGGTGCAACTCGGGCTGGATTAGCCTGAATCAAACCAAAAAAATCAGGTCGGGTTGAAGCTTGTATTACCTGATTTAGCTTTGGTGTTCGGATTGGGTTGGGGTTGAGGCGTCAGCAACCTGACCCAACCTGAACCCAATATGTCCTGGCATGTTCAGATGTTAAAGCTAACCTTAAGTGGTTAATCCACTAATACTTGGTCTGAGAAGTGAGAATATTTTCTTCAAAAGAAAAAAGAAGTGAAGAAACTAGGCTAACCGAGGCCCAAGCCCACCCCAACCCAACCCAATATTACCATTGGGATTAGGGGTGTCAACGGTATTCAAAAATCCGATTTCGAATTCGATATTCAGCATAATTGAATAATTTGAATATCTAATCGGTCGAATTCGGATATGACCTGATTCGATTCGATAAATATCCGAATTCGACCGATTATTTAATTCTTATATATAATATATAAAATATTTTATATAATTTATATATAATAATTAAGTTATATAAATAATTTATATATTGATATACTTTATATCAATAAAATATTAATTTTATTTATTTATTACTTATCTAAAATAATTAATTAACTGAATTCAAATCGAATCGAATATTCGAATATTTAATCGGATTCGAATTTGGATATTAACTTTCAATATCCGTTGGATATCGAATCGAATTCGGATATTGCTTGATCTGATTCGAATTCGATCTGTTTACACTCCTAATTGGGATGGGCTAGGGTTGACCAGTGTTTTAAAAGGCAYGGGAGGCGTATGCCTGGAGGTGCGCCTCCAGGTGAGGTGCCCCAAAACGCCTTTTTCATGAGGTGTGCTTGAGGCATACACCTCATGTGCCTCTTGCACACCTCATACAAAAAGACGAATAAAAAGAAAAAAGAAAGGGGTGTGAAAGAAAAAGAAAGAGAAGAAAAAAGAAGAAAAGAAAAGAAAAGGGAAGGGAAGATAAGGGGATTGCTATTCATAAAAAAAAAAGATAAGGGGATCACTTGCTCACCTCCACTTNGCTAGTGTTGTGCATCTTCATTCTTCTTAATATAAAAGATTTTTATTAAAAAATAAGGAAAAAATGAAATCCTCCTTCCTCTTCCTCCTCATCCTCATCCTCCTCCTCTCAAGGAGGCTTATGCCTCTTGCGTTCTGAATCAGGCCTCATGCCTCCAGGTAGTGCAACACCTCACATTACACCTCCGCATTTTAAAACATTCTGGTTGACTACATGTTGAAGGTTGGTTTGTGTTGGGGCTTCACACCTGTAGTTGGGCTAGGGTTGACCTCAGCCTGACTTAGCCCAGCTGAAAGACTGTGCAAGGTTCCATTATGGTAAGGAATCCAACTAAGAATGAAGAAGTGTGGATGCTTGTTATAGTCAAAACTCCAAATTATAGAATGCTTTGAATAGCTCCAGAATTTAGGGTTGCTGAATTTCTCATTTCTAAATACTGATTGAACTACTTAAAGATCATTCCATTTGGATTGGAGTCAATAACTCTTCAGTCAGTCACCAACTATTTCATTGGTATACATACGGCTTACAGCAAAAAATATGAAAATTTTATTGCACAAAGTTCCCTTTTAGAAGTTAAATTCTGGACCATCTAGCTGAGTGGATAGCCTTATGGAAATTTTAATTTCTTTCTCAAAAAAAAAAAAATCTGGTTATGTATTACTGTACGGTAATCTGTATCAGTTACTGGATAGCCTTATAAAGAGACATGAGTTGTGTTTTTTTTTTCGTTTCTTTTTTTATTTGGTCAAAAAAGAGAGTGATGGGCTGTTTAGTTGATTTTTTTTGTCAGTAATGAAAGATCATTGAAAACAGAAAGAAGAAGAAAAAGGTATACAAGTGGTACAAGCAAGGGGTGAAGTTAAAAAAGAACCCTCACCCACAACCTCCAAGAGGGGCCTTAACGTCTCAGATATGCAAAAATGTTTGTAATTACTAATCACTGCCACTCCCATATAATCAAAACCAAACTTGAAGCAAGGTTTTTGAGTGCCACCAAAACAAGCAATAAATTCCATGACCAAAGAAAAAAAACCAACTATAGCTAGACACAAACAAGCAGACTGTGCAAATTTCAAAAGTTATTGCTAGATTGAGGGGGGGGTCTTTTTGGGATTGGGCCGAATAAGAAGGTAAAGAAAACAAAAAGAGTGAACAAGGGAAGAAAAGCAGATCCTATTTCAGTCATTAGAAATGATGGGCTTTTGGACACAAAGGTTGAGTAGTTTTCTTATGGGAATCTGTCTGTGTCTTTGGGTGTAGGGCCTTGCTTTCAGGGGTTGAGACTGGAAGGTTGGGTGTTTAGGGAGTTTGTTTGTCAAGTGGTGGGTGAGTAATGTTCTGGGTGTTTGTGGAGGTTTTTTTTTTTTTTCAGGTTTGGGAGTTTTGTTTTTCTCCGACTTTGAGGAGGGTTCGGGTTGAGGTTCTGTTCCTTATTTTGGGTAATTCCTCATCTCTTGTTCTGTAATCTTCTCTCTTTAATATCTTAATAAATTTTCTTTTTTATCAACTTATCAAAGAACTCCAAGAAACTGACCATTTTGTGCTCCCACTCTCTACTGTCCCTGACTAACAATTACATTATAAGCTGCTACAAGGGCTGAGGATAACTAAACAACATGGGTCCAGCTAAGGAGCTGGGAGCTACTTTCAGATGGATCAAGAGAAGAACTGGAAATGGGATGGCTGATTTATGGGCTAAATGAAATAGGGAACAACTATCTGGGTAGAATTGTAATATGGGTTTGATTGTAAAATTTAAAGACTGACCGGGTAATATTCTCCCAGGCTCCCAGTTTTGAATTGTACTATTAAATTGTCTAAATTAATGAAATTCTGTTATTGATAGAAAAAATAAGCTCTTCCTAGTCTGATATTGTAACATTGGACTTATCCTTTCATCCAACTACCCTAGTTTTTCTCCTCGTATGCTGATTCTTTCAACAACCCTTCAGGGTGGATGTAAATCATGTAATTGCTACCACACCCAATTCTTCCTCCTCGCTTCACAATGATTTCTCATCCTCTTCCCCTGCTTCACAGTCACTTTCCTTCCCAAAGAAAGAAACCATGCTTCTTGCTTATGCCAGCCATCCTCTCAACTCCTGCAGAATGTTTTTCCATCTTCTCTCTTCTCCTTTTTTCAATCCAGGATGTCTGAAAATGCCCAGTTCCCCCAAGATCCAAAGCAAACTCCAATTAGTGAAAGATTATTTCTCAAGTTACTGGCTTGTTGCTCTGTTGTCTGGCTCATCAGAAAATTGTCCCTGCTATTCAACTCAAAAGGAACCTCTTAAATTTACAGATCCCACACTTCTATTTATTCTTGATTTGCTTAACATGTTTCTTCCCCTAGAATTCTAAACCATAATTGTTCATAAACCATGGCCAACCAACATATCATCTAACACTTGATTTACAACTCTACTTCTTTATGCAGATATGTGAATGGATGACAGTTCAACCAGATATAAAGCTATTACCAGGGGACTATGCTCTCCATTTGGACTTAGTTGCAAAAGTTCGTGGCTGGGTTAGTGCGGAAAAGTTTTTTGAAGATCTTCCGGAACATATGAAGGGGGAACCTACCTATTCTGCTCTTCTCCACACCTATGTACAACACAATTTGTCTGAAAAAGCAGAGGCTTTGATGAAGAAAATGTCAGAATGTGGTTTTTCAAGGAATGTTCTTCCTTATAACCACATGCTATCCCTCTACATTTCAAATGGACAATTGGGGAAGGTCCTGGAAGTTATCCAGGAGTTGAAGAAGAACACCTCTCCAGATGTGGTTACCTACAATTTGTGGCTAAATGTATGTGCTTTGCAAAATGATGTTGAGGATGCAGAAAAGGTCTTCCTAGAACTGAAAAAGGCAAAAATAGATGCAGATTGGGTGACATACAGTGTTTTGACTAACTTATATATAAAAAAGGATCAACTAGAGAAGGCAACTAGTACCTTGAAGGAGATGGAGAAACGGGTTTCTAGAAAAAATCGTGTAGCGTATTCCTCCCTCGTTAGCTTGCATACCAGTATGGGAGATAAAGAGGGGGTATACCGGATATGGAAGAAGATTAAATCAACTTTCCATAAGATGAATGATGCCGAGTATACCTGCTTGATAGCATCTTTGGTGAAACTTGGGGAGCTTAAGGAAGCTGAGAATGTCTATGCAGAGTGGGAAGTGGTGTCTGGGACTGGTGACTCTAGGATTCCTAATTTACTTCTTGCAGCTTATATTAACCAAGGTCAGATGGACAAGGCTGAGAAATTTTGTGAAAGGATGGTTCAGAAGGGCATCACACCCAGTTACACAACTTGGGAACTTTTTGCGTGGGGTTACTTAAAAATGAAGAAAATGGATAAAGTCCTTGATTACTTCAAGAAGGCTATTGAGAGTGTGAAGGAATGGGATCCCACTGATCGAATTGTTCGAGAGGTATTTGATAACCTCGAGAAGGAAGGTAATATTGCAGGTGCAGAGCAGTTCTTGGTTATTCTTAGGAGTGCAGGATATGTGACGACTCAGATATATAATTCATTGCTACGCACATACGCAAAAGCCGGTAAGATGCCTCTTATAGTTGCTGAACGCATGAAGAATGATAATGTTGAGTTGGATGAAGAGACTCGGCAGCTTATAAAGTTGACAAGCAAATTTTGCGTAGGTGATGTTTCGAGCATTCTTTCTCATTAAGGAAACTGCACATTTTTGAATCAGAATTTTCTTTTTCGGCCAGATTTATCCATGAATATCAATTCTATATCTTTCCCTGCCCCTTGCCAGTGCGTTTAAATTTCAGTACCTATCAGTGGCTATCACAGGGTATGCGTACTGTTTGATCCTTATGACCATGCTAGTAGCACAATTTGTGATACCTGCTCACTTAATAACTAAATTTGGAATTGCTGCTGTCAGGTAGGACGTTTTCTAGAGCAACAACTTTTTCTGTTTAGTACCAATGTTCCAGGAAACGTTTTTTGTACTTTTACCCATTATCTAGTGCTACATCACAGCCCTGTTGGTAGCAATGAGATGCAGTTTCAGGAAATGCCAAATTTGGCAAGGCATGGCTTGGAGCACCGCTTTCTATGAAAAAACGGTTCCAAACAGATGGCTGTTTCTTGGAGCATTGTTTTTTCCTACGTGGTGTTGATGTGGCACCGTTGCTCCAGGAAACGACAACAATGTCAAATAGCCGCTTGAGCAATAATCATTTGACAGGAGTGATCCCTTGGAGCATTGGCAATTAGGGCTGTTCATAACAAGACCCAAACCGACCAACTCAAGTCGGCCGATTTTTCTTCAACACCGGTCGGTTTCGGGTTATGAAAAAATAAACTAATGGTTCGGTTCAGTTTTGGTTTTCATGTGTGAAAACCGAAACCGACCCGACCCGACTTAGATATATATTATATATAATATATTTCAGATATATTATATATAAAATTCCAGCTTTAATCCATCAAATCATTTTTAATTTTTAGACATCCAGCCTTCGCTTCTTAGACTTGAATCCTTTACCGTTCACGCCGAGAGAATCATTCACAAAACCTACCCAAACCGATCAGGTTGGTTTTACTTAGTATAGGGTCAGATTCGGTTTCATTTTTAGGTAAAGCGACCAGGTTGGGTCAGTTGGAAAAATGTCAGTAAACCAACCCAACCCGACCCATGAAGAGCCCTATTGGCAATTTAAGTAGGCTACAAGTAATTGACTTGTCGGAAAATGTATTAAATGGCATCAGAGCTTGGAAACTACACCAACCTGAGGTTCGGGGTCACTTCAATCTGTCCAAACAGAGAACCAGGAACATCTTTGTGCCCTGGTTCAACCGCATACCCAACTAACGGCCAATGTTCAGATGGCGGGTTCAAAGAACGCGGACAATGGCATGTAAAACAGGAACAGTTTTGGTGGGTTGGTAGGGTGGTTAAGGCGAAGAACGAAAGAAGCACTAGTCACACTGTACATGGCGTAGGATGGAGAATGGAGGCGTGCCCTGTGCCCTGGGTCAGGTGAACCAAATAAGAGGGTAGAAGGTCGAATTAGGCTTAGATGATGATGACGATGATGAACGGTGGGCCATCAACCCCTCGGCTTGGTTTGACTCTCTCTAATCCATGTGTTCATGATATAATTATTTCCATTAAATTATTGATAATAAATAATAAACATAAATCTTTTTATGGAGCAGCGAAGCGTTACGTGAAGAATAACTGCAACAACCGGAAGAAGAGAGGTTTACCGAACCCAACCCAACCCAACCCAATCCACGTCCCTTATTATCTCACGTAGTTCTGAGTTGAGTTACAGTATTGTCCCTTGGTTGTTTTCTGAACTACAAAACTGCTCCATATATATTCATGCCATTTTTTTCTTGTTTTTTTGTTAAAAATACCAATATGCCCTCATTCTCGATGTTCCTGTGATTTAGTTGCACTTGCACATGCACACCCTCTCGTGGCCTATCAAGGAAACACAATTTATTTAATAAGAGTTGGTTTTCTGTTGCAGTCCTGGGCTATGCAAATTTAGACCTGGCAAAAAGTTGACGCAACCCACTAACACGACCCAATACAACCCAAAAAAACCGGGTTAAGGTCTCATTTAGCTACATGAATGGCTGAATGACCCGACCTGAAAAAACTGGGTTAGGTTGGGTTAGGTCATGGGTCAACCCGCTGACCCGATTGTCAGGTCTAATTGGGACTATTTATGTACTACTAAAAGTTTTCACTCTTTAATTTTTTCTATTCAGCCTTTACTCTTTGAATTGTTAAATGTTCAATTTTTTATTTTATATTTGGAATTTTAAGGTTAATTTCTTTAATTTTGACATTTTTCATGTATTTTTTTTATGTTTTTAAATTTCAGTTATTTTTTTTTTGGATGACCCGAATTGACCCATGGGTCAACCCTAACCCAAACATTTAGGGTTAGGGTCTAGTATTTGACAAACCAACCCAAAATTCAACCTGACCCAAAATCAACCCAAAATGTCTTAACCCAACCCGACCCATACCCTCCCAACCCAATTGCCAGGTGTGCATGCAATTTTTCTTTTTGTGTGAAAAAAAAACAAAAATATACACATTAGCAAACACTCCCTTGAATTCTATTTTATTTAATTGCATGGCAAAGCGTATTAGACTATTAGTAACCACATACGTATGGAAATGGTAGAATGATTTTGATTTGCATAGGTACACACTAAGGGAATTTACAAAAAAAAAAAAACAAAAAAAATCCTTCATATGCATCAATAACATTAAGGCTCAGTTTGGAAGGAATACGTACAAATACAAATATATAGAGTGCAAAACTTTGTATTTTGTATGCATACATATTTGTATTTGTATTACTTCCAAACTAAGCCTAAATTTAAGGCTAAAATTATTATAAGGTACACATACATAAAAATAAATATATTTTAATAGTTTATGTGAAGTTTAAGTATGCATGCATACCTCAAGAAATCATATAAATCTCATTAACACTTAAAATATCAATTTTACTGCAGCCAAAAAAAATATGAATGTAATGATTGGTTAATTACTTTTATTTTGTACAAATTTCTTAATATTTAAATACCAACTTTAGTGACAAATTAATTATTCATTTACTTTTTTTATTTTTCATGTTGAAATTAAAAAGGCGGTTTGAGATATTAAAATTTAAAACCATTGATGTTTTAATGCATCTTGAAAGCTGCCCTTGGAAGCTTTGGTATGTGGTGCATGATATTAAGCAGGAGCTTGTATATATGAACCTGGAGATTGCCATATCTATAGACTATAGAGAAGGAAATGGTGTTGCAGATGCTTTGGTTAATATTGCTTGCAATGTTCAAGTATATTCTAAATTTCTAATTATTTCCACTTCTCACAATACACGAATTGGTCATCTGGTCACTTATGCTGTGTTTGGTTTGAAGAAAAAGTAGGGAAAGGTAGGGAGTCCTTTATAAACTTTATATAGGTTTCCCGATCTTTCCCTTCCTTACCCTATTTTTTCCTTCAAACCAAACATAGCCTTAGGAAGGCAACATTTATCTCTTGTTTCTAAGAATTAGATAAGCTTTTTTCAGGGAGTCCCAGATGAGATGTTTTTCTGTATATTATGAGTTGGACTGCCTCTTGTATAGATTCTTTTGAGGGGTAAAGTTTTTATGTCCCCCTTGTAAGCATTTTTTTTTTCTTGAGATAATAAAATTCAATGGTGGTGGCCACTTGGACCACAGATGTTTGGGGTTTAAAAAAAGCACCTTGTAATACAGTGGTAAGGACATTGGAATTAATATAGGAGTTTCATTAAGATTTAAAAAGGTTAATGCCTTAATGTGCATTTAAAAAGGCTCAGTTTGGAAGGAGTATAAATACAAATATGTACAGTACAAATACATATAACATAATATAAAATATAAGGTTTTGTACTCTACATAGTTGTATTTGTACTCCTTCCAAACTGAGCCTAATGTGATGTTCAAATTTCAAATTGAATAGGTGAAAAATGCAAAAATTCAATTTTTGATTATTAATGAATACCCTCTTTTTTTGTAATAAGTGAATTCCCCCTTAAATGTATGCATGGTTAAGAATGGAAATCATTTCCATACTATTCTTTTATATTTTTAGTCTGATAATTTGCAGATATATTTGTTTTTTTCTCAATTTTGAAGATATGTTTATTAAGATGAATATTAACATTCAAATCTATCAAATAATCCTAGGTCTAAGTATTCGATGTATTGTGACCCTGAAAAGTAAAATCTGATATATATATATATATATATATATATATATATATATATAACATAATATAATATTTTTAAATCATTTATTTATGCTGATTTTTTTTTTGTGTAAATGCTCTCTTAAATAGGTAGGAACATCTAATAATTAGTAATGCTGTTATGAATGTCATATATGATATATGTGGCAAATTACTACAGGAGGCTGTACAACACAAGACCCATGATGACAATCCCTACTGGGATCCCTAGAGTCGACAATATTCTTTTTGTTTAATATAATTATTTACCTTTAAAAAAATCCCTTCTTAAAAAATAATTTTCAAATAAGTGAAATGATAGGAGAAATAATTTAAAGGTAAAGGGAAGGGTCTGTTGAATTGAGATCGCCGACCAAGTTCTAGCCATTGGATTTGACAAATGGACTGGTCTTAAACCACTAATAAAACCATTTGGGGTGCTTTCACTAAGGTGGTATTTGGCTCATGGCAATGCATTGAATGATGGATATATCTATACTATTTTAAAAAGCATGAATGGCCTCAAGATTATTTCTGGAATTTTATGGGGATAAAATTTACCCTTTTATATTTAAATTTATTGATAAAAAATGAGGGCAAATAGGATAATCAGTTATTGATATTAAATGAGTTGAAAAGAGGTAATTTTAAGATATTCAATCATTCAATTCCCTTTCATTAAATCCAACATTTAAGTTATTAACTTGCATTCATATTCATTGAATCATATATTTAAGTCATTTTTGTTTCTTCTCATCATTAAGTTCAATTAATTAAATTCATACTTTATAAATTAATAATTCCAATAACATAAAAGCTTATACTTTTAAAATCTACCTAGAAAAAATAGTGCTTTCATCTAGGTTGTGGTAAGAAATTAAATAATTTTGGGCCAATTTATATTGACATGATTAAATAACAAAATGAAAAAAATATAAATTAAAAAAATTGGGAACATTTTTAACATACATATTAAACAATAATAAGTACATTAAATAAGAAATGTTTTTATTAATGATGGAAATGGAATGTAAAATTTAAAACCAATTAGAAATAAAAATATTTTCTATTCTCTCTCATTAAATCCTATATTTAAGATATATTTTTCTCATCTTTAAATTCTTGTAATTAAATCCATAATATTAATTTTAATAGTATAAAAATAAATATTTTGAAAATGTAATTTGAAAACAAAAACATTTTATTCCCTTCTAGTGGTGGGCAAGTAATTCGACCATTGGAGGTCAATAGAATTAATAAATAATGCCATAATTAAATAATAAAAAATTAAAATAAATAAGTACAAAATGTAAGAAGTATTTTTATTAATGATGAAAATGGAATGCCAAATTTAAAATCTACTTAGAGATGAAATAATGTCTTAGTCAAATAATAAAATTTAAAAAAATAAAAAAATACAAAGAATCACAAAATAAAAAAATAGGGAAAATTTTGGGCACATATCTAATGTTATATATTTATAAAAAATAAAATATTGGGTATACCTATAACATTATACATTCATTATATTGAACAAAAATAAGTATTATACATAAGAAATAATTTTATCAATGATGGAAATGTAATACAAAATTTAATGTCTACCTAGAAATCAAACTACTTTTCTTTTTAGGTGGTGGTTAGTGATTTGGGTAAGATGATATTATAGACAAACAAAAATTAAGTGTAATAAGTAAAAAATTATTTATGTAATGTATATGAAATATATAGTTTAAAGGGAAAATTATAGTCAAAGCCAGTTGAACATTTAAAATTAGGTTGTATGATGACCAAAAAACCATTAAAACTTTGACAACCGACTCTACATTTCAAATTATAAAAACCCCCACCATGCATGTCATCAAAGGCTTATGTGGTTGTTGCCAATATGGGACTCTTAATCCATATTGGACACAACAAAAAGCCTATACCAAAAATAGGTTTTCAGTTTCTCTCTCATTCCCTCTGTCTTTCGATCTCCCTCCCTTCTCTCTCACTCTCACAGTCATGTCTCGATCTGCCGCTCCATTTGTCTCTCCCACTATCTCAGCTTTGGTCTGTAGCCAAATCAAAACATTGGTTTCTTCCTCTCTCTCTCTCTCTCTCTCAATCTATCATTCTCTCTCATTCTTCTCCCTCACTCTTCCTCTCGATTAATATCTCATTCTCTCTCAATCTCTATCGTTCTCCCTCAATCTTTCTCCCGCTCCCTCTCTTGTTCTTTTCTTTTTATTTTTCTTACAAACTTATATAATATTAATCAAATTGTATAAAAGAACTAAAGGGACCAACCACTTATACAATCAAGTTATAAATTTCTATTAAGTTGGTGTAAATTTCATAGCCAAGAGTTTCTTGTGATTTTTTATCGAATTTGTGTAATGATACCAATTTGATAAAAAATGGTATTTGTTTTGCAATTTGCTCCAACTCATCACTCGAATACGTCCAGGCAACCCTCCAACTAGGAGCTTCTAAATCATGCATCATCAGTATTAATCTTCCATTTTTTTATTTTTCTTACACACTTATACCACTTGTATAATCAAACTATTTTTTTATCTAGATGGTGGGGCAATGATCCAACTTTTTAAAGAAACCCATGATGTCATAATTGAATAATAAATATTTAAAAAAAGATAGAGCACAAAAAATGAAAATGTATAGAATTTTGTCGAAAACACTTAAGAACATTTCTAATGTTATATTTTCATCATATTAAATAAAAATAATTGTTAAAATAAAAGTTATTTTTTTATGATAGAAATGGAACATAAAATTTAATAATAATAATAATAATTGTTATTTGCTACAAACATTTAAGTTTATTTTTAATCATATTGTTACTTTTGTTAATTTTCAATTTCTATCTTAATTATGATATATCTAAAATTCAATTAATTAATATGAAGAAAAAATTTTCATATGCTATTTAATTAGTAGTATATATATAATAGAATAAAATGATAAAACAAAATTTGTGTAGCCGGCCTCATATAATTGCGCTATGGGACAAGGGAAGGCTTAGTTGATGAAGAATTGATGATAATGAATAATACAAAACATGTTTTTCTGTTCATTCATAGCATTAATTGAGTGACTTGCATATAATGCACGTACTCACTCATTCTCAAAAAATATAATGCATGTATAATTGGTCTCGACTCTAAGAAAGGAGGAGGGGTAATTTAGTCAGTTTGCTCAGACACGGAAAAAACGAGGAGAATCCAAACGTACAAGGACTGGCACGTAAATATTGTGCTGAATCAAGGTCAAACTTAAAGCTAATCCCTGTTCCTTTCCTGTACTCACTCCTCAGTGTCTCCGTTTCCCCACGTTACTATAATTGGCTACGTTGCAGGTCAGARCTTGGAGCTCAACAGCCTCTCTCTAGCTCGTATAGTCGTATATTGCTTGAACGAGGAAAGAAGAAGAAAGAGCTCTCTCTCTCTCTCTCTCTTTCTCTCTCAATACGAATACTCAAATGGCGTTTCTGGCGGAATCCGGCGACGTTTGTGTGCAGGAGGCGATGGCGTGGCTACCCGCCCACGTTTTTGACTCTGCTTGCGAACCGAAGGTCTCTCGTCCAGAATCCAAACCCACTACTATTTATATATTTGTTATTATTACTGAATCTTCTTCATCTGTGATATGTTACATGAAATTCATTCCACTGAATCCGTTTTTGTTGTTTGGGATTTCAATTTTCATTTCCCCAGGAACTTTTGGGCCGTCAATACCACCACCATCATTATCATCATCGTCGTCTCAACAACACTTACGCAAGCCCTCTTCCTCGGGTACTCTTTTCTTCATCTTCATGTACTTACTTTCCACTGGGGGAGAGAGAGAGGTTCTCTCCGTTGGGAAGCGTTTTTTTTTATGATTTTGAGAGGGGGAAACTTGGTCATTGAAATTTTGGTTCCCGGAAAGTTTATTTTTACGTGTATCACTGTCCATCTTCTACATGGATAAATAATTTTTCTATTTGGGGAAGATTTCTAACACTTGAATGGATAAAAAATACTTCTTTTAATAATAGATTTTTATAGTTAAAATGGTTATTACCTAGTAAATAAAAGAACATGGGTAAATGCACTTACCCGGATAAGTATTCCCCTAAAAAAAACTCACCCAGGTAATTGCATTTACCCGGATAAATAACTTACCAAAAAAAGAACAAAGCCTAAAACCGCTAAGCTAGAAGTAGAATGTAGATGATAGAGATTTTCCCCAATTTTCCTGCTATTATTTTCTCTCCATTTAAGGGGAATTCAAATTGTATACAGTTCTACTGGGCCAATTATGATACACCACCTCAGATCCTTTGATGTGCACCAATCATGATGACTTGGCGCAACATAACAGGCATAAGCATCCTCCGGTTGGTTTCCTCCTGATTTAATTGTACACCAAAATCCGTCTATACACCTCAGATCCTATAATGCATGTATAGGCATAAGCATCTTCTGGTTTTTTTCCCATTCATTTCAACTTTGAAGGCTATAAATAGAAATTGCTATAAACCCAGTCAAAAGAATCTTCTTCAAATGACACGACCAGCTTAACTGTTAATAGCATAAACGCGCGCCAGCAAAGAGTAACGGATTTGTTTTCATTGAATACCAATCTGGCAATCTTACCTCTCCTTTTGTACTAGTTAGAAAATGAAAGACATGAATTATCCAGCTATAAATATATTTATGATTGTGATTATGATTAGAGCCTAGAGGGATAACATTTGGTATGCCACTTTGTAACTATTAGTGCTCACCTTAAAAGTCTTAGGGCCCATTTGGTTTGCGGTTCCAATTGTAATAATCCATTCCTAGCCTCCTGCCTGTGGTTCAAATAGCTAGGGATCTGATTCCGATTCGATCCAAACCCTATTCCCATGAATCGATGGAACAGACCCCTCCCTATATATATATTCCATCCCACACACATACAGCATGAATGATTCTACTTTTTCATTATTGAAAATTTTCAAACACGGAGCTTTGGGAAAAGCATGCAGTAACTACCCAGGAAAAATATGGGTAATTAATCACTCAATTAAGTACTGATGGAGGTTTTTCATGTGATGATCGATCGACATTTGTTCATCAGAATCACAGCTCAAAATCGGAGTCAAAACGGCAACCAAGACCAAGACCACCGAGATATCCAATAAACGGTGCATCTGGAGGACCCGGAATGCAGGCCATCTTTCTAGACTCTAGGCAAAGGTCATGCGGCACTGGGGTTTTCCTCCCTCCTTGGGCTGGTACCAACTTCCAACCAACCAAGAAGCCAGGTACGTAACTTCCGAGTTCCGACCAAACAAGAGCCTAACCACGGTACCTTAGCTGATCGGAAACATACAAGTCCTTAGCTCTGAATTAAATTTGATTTGTAATTTAATTTATCAATTATGCCCCGCAGCKTGTTCGCCTGTTCTTCTCCCATCTCGCGTTGTGCAAGCTCTTAACCTCAATGTGCATGCATTAGCCTGTTCCCAAATCACACCCCAACGACGAGGTTAGTACTGTTTTCTTAATTTCTTGGGCTCTTCTCTTTCTCTCTTTCACACTTTTGGATGAATTTTCTCGTTGACGATCAGAATTGTTTGCAGATGTAAACAGTACCTTAGTCTTAGACAATGACCGGAGTCGTCGCAATTCAGTTTGCAATAAAAACTGCAACGGTTCATCTCAGTGCTGTGTCTCCGCCCAATCTCGCAGCTCTTCGCCGGAGATATTTCTTCCAAAGGAATGGACTTACTAGACTTGGAAAAAAAATATCAAAAATAAAGAAGATGAAGAAATGCTCCTTCTCTTCTTACTTCACTATTGATATTGATAATGTAATGTAAACATGTTAATTACCATTGATTCAATAATAATAGTAGTAAACGATGCCCTTACTATACCCGACGTGATTGGTAATTTGGTACGGTTCGATTTGGATCCATATATACAGTGGTATTTAGGTACCTGTGGATTAATTTGCATGTCGAATTGGTTGCGTGTACGGGTTCCTGACTAGCTCGGCTCGGTTCAGTTAGTTTCGAACAAAGCTCAAGCCCAATTTATAGGCTTGTTTGTTAATCGATTTGAGCTTGAATTTAATAAAACTCAGCTCGTAAGGTTTAGTAAATAGTTCGAATAGCTACATAATAATAATAATAATAATAATAATAATAATAATAATAATAATAATAATAATGATGATGATGATGATGATAATAATGATATAATTATAAAAAATAATATATCTAATAAAAATGATATAATATTTTTATTTTTATATATAATAATAACTAATTATTATAATTCTTATTTTTTAAATATCAAATAAAAATATATATATATATATATATATATTTTTATTTTTAAAAAATATTTTTCTTAAGTCAAGCTCAAGCTTACGAGCTTTTGGCTCAAGCTAAGCTCGAGCTCAAGGTTCTAGCTCGAACTGAACTCGAGCCTCATACTACCTTGGCAAGCTGAGCTTGAATAGCTAACTATTCGACTTGGCTCGCCTCGAGTCCACCCCTAGTTGCATGTGTAGGTGCATCATTCCCATTTGACGAGATTTGTTATATGAATTGTTAATAATACTATAACTAACGGTAATTAGTAATGCTAATTAGTAAAATTATTATTAAATTATCATAATTGTTATAATTATCGGTTAAGTACTTTAACAAATATTTATAATTATTGCAATTGTTATAATTATTACTATTCAGGAAAGTGTGTCAAGTTAGTTCCCGAACTTTAAAATGTGTCACCTTGAACTTTCAAATTGTGTGTTTAATTAATAGGTCCTTACCATTAGTTGTTCCTTAGTTAACATTGTCACGTGACATAAGGTGCGTATCAAATAATTTCAAAATGGAAAAATTACCTAGAGATGTAAAACAGGCCATGCTAGACTAGCATGGCATGACCCATGAGYTGTCCTGGATCGTGCCTCCTCCCTTGGGATATTTTGGGGGTTTGGCTCGGCATGGCCCACGGCCAAGGCCCGCATAGATCTATGTCGTGCTGTGTTAGGCTAGTCTATGGATCGGACCAAAGCTATTTATTTTAAAAAAAATGAGAAAAAACTTAAAATTTTAATTTTGTATGAACTTTGATGTATACAATTGCTTATATATACAATAATTAAATAAAATTGAAAAAAATTGTTTATTTTATTAATATATTATATAATTGTAATTTATATAATATAACACATATATAAATATTATATATATAATATTAATATATGGGTCGTGCCAGCCCACGAGCCACGGGCGGCACGACATGATAATGCAGGTCATGCCGGTCCAGCCCGACCCATACAATTATGCTGTGCTATGGCATGGCCCATAGACCATCGAGCCAGGTCGGCTCAAAATCATGCTAGGCCACAAGTGGCACAACCTAATTTGCACCTCTAAAATTACCTTTTATGATATTTTTCTGACCATTTTACTCATTTTCGTCTAAGTGTTAAAAAAAGGGAAAGAAGGGTTTTGAAATCTGATAGGTGATTGTCCAATTATAGTTGATCGTTGAACAGGGGAGCAGGAGCTTGAACAGTTGATTAGTGTCTGGTTTCATAGCTCTTTTCCCCTTTCCTTCTTCTAACACTCAAACGAAATAGGTAAAATGGTCAAAAAAACATCATAAAGGGGTAATTTTGTTATTTTGAAGTTATTTAATGACACCTAATGTCAATTGACGTTGTTGACTACCGGTAGGGACCTATTAGACACAATTTAAAAGTTCAGGGTACTATTAGAGATATGTTTTGAAGTTTGGAGAYTGACTTGACACAACCTCCAAAGTTGAGGGTACTGTTCAAGAATTTTCCCTCATATAATTATCAATAATTATACTGAAATTATTGGTTAATACTATCAGCGAAATTATAGTAATAGCCTTTGAAATAATTGTTATTTATCTATGGAAAAAAACGTACCATAACTCCTCTTATGTCCCTTAGTTAGAACTGCAAGTTTAGAACAGTAAACAAACAAATCCTAGTACATCCAGAATTCAAGTAAGTCTACATATACCACATTGGCTCTCAAATTTTAACTCAATTCCTAAACAACTCTAAAGAACTTGTAAAAATTATAGTTTTCAACCAACTTTGCTTACCAAGCAATTATATAAAGAAATTTTTAGTTACAATATCGATGGAAAGATCACAAAACTCAAAATCACGTTTATATTTTTTCTTTTTTGTTGGAGGTCCACCGCTGTCTAGCATAAGATTTTATCATTGCACCAAACATGCAATGGCCCCTCCCTTCCTTTCTTCAATCTATAATATTATTTCTTGTTCCTTCTCCAAATAAAAGTTTTTTCAGTTAACACTTAGCAATCAAGAAAAAAATAATGTGCACTGCAGAATTTTTTTAAATCTGTAACCGCTAAGCTCCTTTAAGATACATGCCCAAAAGAATATCAACATCTCGATCTCCTCCTTTCAATGACCTACCAAGAGAATGAAAAATCACCCATCCTTTTACTATCATGTCTTTCTAGTGGTATCACGGGGTGAGCAAATGGATATATTCTACCTAGGAGTCAACCTTGAACCAGTCTTGAACCGGTGCTACCATATAGAGTATGGTTCCAAATTATTGGAACCGACCCCCACCCAAGTTGATTTGAGGGTCTAGGTGTTTATCCAACTCAAATCGGTCTTGGTGAAATTAAACTTGCCTTGAAATAAATAAAAAAAGAAAGAAAAAACTTTGAAAATGTGAAGATTCAAACCTAAACACTCATAGTTACAAACCCACTTCACCATTGAGTCACTTAAGTGATCTAGCCATTTTTCTTTAATTTAATATTTGAATGTGTATAATAAGTATCGCAAAAGGAAATATTTACAAACAATAAATTATAATATTGATGAGTTTTGACATGTATATTAACATACTACTACTACTACTACTATTACTAGCCAAACTTTGGCATGTCTTGGCTCAACTTGACTAAAATACTATCAAGTTCAAGTTCAAACTTGAGATTGACTTGAACTATATTTTTCGATTCGAGCTCGGTTTCATTAAATATTGGGTGAGCTCGAGTTCAGCTCAAAAGTTAAAAAATGAATATATTTTATATTATACATATGATATATTTTTTATAATTTATAGTATATTCTTATATTATATATAGAATATAAAAATATATTTTATATTCTATATAGGTGTGTATGTATGTAAGGTTCGACTATGATGCCGGAAAGACATGATACCATAAAAACTTACAACCAGCCAACCTGCATCATAAAAATAATAACCAATAAGGTGGGTTTTCATCAAATTCATGAGAGATTGTGATTGGTCAAAGCTTTTTTTGTATCATGTCTTTTCGACATCATAGATTTCCCCATGTATGTATGTACATATGTATGTTGTATGTATTCATGCATGCATGCATGCATGTACATACACATATATGTGTTAATCAAGTCAAACTCACGACCTTTTGAGCCAAACTTTTTATTAGTTGAGCTCAAATAACTAATCTAGCTTACACCAAGGTTCGAACTCAATTAGAATCAAAGTCAAATCAAGCCTAATCAAACTCAAGCCTGAATTGTTCAATTAGAACTCAATTTGATTGCAGTTTTAGTTTTAGGTTCTGCCTTGGAATCGAACCAAAACAACCCATGCTCATCCCTAACCACAATTAGTGCCTATTTGATTTCACTTCGAACAAGTATTTTTTTATAAGTACTTAATAAAAGTGTTGGAACCACACATTAAGTGTAAAATAAGTACTTGTGGGTATTTGGTAAAAAAGTACAAAAAATACTTATTTGATAAAGAATTACTTATTAAAAAACGCCACTTGAGAGTTGCCTTTTTTATAAGTACTTGTTAATAAGTGGACTTGTGAAAATTTTGGGACTAAAAAGACCATGTTTATTTTTTTAAATACCTRGAATACCCCCATCTCTCCTTAAACCCCATTCTTCCTCACTCGAATAGGGTCGAGCATACTAGCGGCAGCACCTTCCTTGGGAGCCATCGATGACCGTCGAACGAGCTACAAACTTGCTGGCGACCAGGTTGGTTTCACGTTTGCACTTGTTGTCTACATATGTTCTTGAATATTTTGGTTTTTTTTTTTGAGATTTTAAATGCTTGAAACCCTCTTTACCAGGTTTGGTTTTTTGGGGCGATTCCGGCATTCTCATTGTGCTTTCGTCGGCAACACACGGGTCAGCCATCCTCCTCCCTCGTCTTTGTTTTAAAACTATTTTTAGTACAATATTTTGATTAAAACCAATGTACAATCAAGCTACTTATGGAGAAAGTAGCTTACCAAACATCCCCACCCCAATAAGTGCTTAAAAACATAATAAGTGATTGGGCAAGTGGGTCACCAAACAACCTTAAGTGATTGTTAAAATAAGTACTTCTAAAAAGTACTTGTGCAACAAGTACTTCTTTTAACAACCACTTAATCATCAAACAAGGCCTTAAAGCCATAGAGATTGAATAGGTTTGACAATAGACTTGATTGTGGAAGATATGTTTGGTTTGGGAGAAAGTAAGAAAAAAAAAACAAAAAGAAAATTAGACAAAAAAATAAGAAAGGAACAAACAGATAAGGGAAAATTGTTAAGGCATTTCAAAATATTTCTTTAGAACTTTCCCTCCACTTTTATTTATCTCTTGTTTTTTATTTCTCTTGTTCTCTTATCTTGCTTTTTGTCGGAAAAAGGGAGGGACACTTTAGTAATTATCTTTACGGTCAAATCCGTTAATGGAAAAAGGGTAAAGCGCTGAAATCTGAAATTTCAGGGGACTTCGTCTTAAAATAAAGTTCAGGGGGAGGGGATAAAGTATCCCTATCACAAGTACCAGGGTGGTGGCCTGTAATTTACCTTTTTATTTCTTTTCTCTTCTCGATAGGCAGCCTGAGCAGTTGGATTGAACATTCGCCTGGCAGTTCTCGGCTACAAAACTCAAGGAGAGACTCTCCCTCGCCTTCTTTGTCATTATGGAGGCAATCTCTTTGAGCTCGCATCATTTCAATGCTCATCTATTTAGAAGAAAGCCATTCATGGTTCGATGTGAGTGTTTCCTTTCTATTCTTGTTCTTCCTCTTATGCAAATTGATTACTTTGAACTCATTTGCTCTAGTTCGTAGTTTCGTTTAGCTTTTAAACTAAACCCTATTGTGGCATCTCTGTCTTCCCACTTGCATTTCAGTGGTGCTATGCTTGTTCGAATAGGTCTTTAATGATTCAATAGCATTTTAACCGACTCACACTCATTAGCAGGATATTTTTAAGGGTTCATTTTTATTGTTGTTCTGGTGTACGGTAGCGGACATGTCCTGTCTTTGATTATGATAGACTTGACTGAATTGCGCAAGAACAATTTCAGCATCCTGCCTTTTCTAGTTATTTATGATGATTCTTCTTACTTAACAAGGTTTATCTATTTTATGGTAATTTTGCAAGTTTTATTAGTTTTTTGTTGTTTTTCTTCTCTTGTAAGTAAGAAGAATTATGTGCTACGTTAACAAGGTTTATTGGGTCACTCCGAAGTACGACATTATTCTTGCTACGTTACTTTATCAGTTGATCTTATAATTCCTACTTGCCTGAGTTAAGAGTTATCCGAATTTTAGTGTGAACTTACAAATCTTGTTTGTTTCATGTTATTATGTGCAAAGTTCTGAATTATTGGGTTCAACAGCCAGCCTTCTGCCAAAGTTCAGACAAACTCCTAGTCATGGTTGAAGAATCGATGGCAAAACTCAAAAGGACCTGTTTTGGTGTTTTAGAAGTATTATGCTTTTCTGCACAGAATATTTTAATGCCCTCTTTTTATTTTGGATATTTTCCTATACCTTTTCCCCTAAATCCTAATACGTAGAATAAAGGAATATTATCTTTTCTTTTCCTTTATTTTCTAAATGATGAGTTGGTGGGGATAGGGAAGTAGGATGACTGGTTAAAATGAGGTCAATTTACTCATTGTTTCCACTTGAATATTATTTAGTTGAGGAAATAAAAAGGACCAAAAATATTGTAGCTTTGTTTAAAGGTGTCCTCAACTAGATGAAGAGTAAAAGAAACATAGAGGCTAAAAGAAATAGCATGGATTAATGCTGAGTTGACTACTTTGATTTTTCTCACACAATGGAAACTCTCGGTTTCCCATGTCTACAAGTGCAAGTCATGCCAAACTCTTCGGAACAATGTAGTTAATGGTTTAAAAGGCAGAGATTTGAGGCAAGGCTCTAGAATATCTCAAAGCCTCATGGGATCTCATTCTTTCAAGAAAATGAGAAAAAGGTGAGAAAGTATACAGAAAAGACTATATATATGTATATATATTTTTTATATAAGAAGGAATTAATCATCATAAAAAATGAGGAGTATAAAGTACCAAGAACCTTAAAAAAGATAAAAAAATAATTGCATTCATATAAATCCTTCAAGACTATTTGTATAACTTAAAAGCAATACTTCAAATGAGTTCTAAAACTCCTAATTATTTAAATGAATCACAAATATACAAGGAAAACTCAGAATTGGTTATTAATTTAGTTTTATGATACTTTGCTTCAATGAATGTATGAAATGCAAGTTTTTTAGTAAGGGAAAATCTATGATAACGGAAAGACATGGTACCAAAAGAGCTTTGACCAATCAAAGCCCACCTGTGTATTTTGATAAAAACCATCTGATTGGTTAACATGTTTATGATGCCGGTTGATTGGTCACAAGTTTTTTGGATATGATGTCTTTCTAGTAACATAGTCGAACCCTTTTAATAAATATATGACATACATGTTCTTGACATAAGGCATCTCAAGGTGTGAGGCATGTTCCTTATACCTTTTAGGTATGAGCCTCAGGGCACAAGCCTCACATGCCTTCTAAAGTACCAATATACTTTACATGTCAAAGAGGAAGATGTGCAATAATGCAAAGTATGGAGTATGGACAAGCAGCCCTTCAAGATACACCTAAACACACACACATACACCCAAATGCTGCCAGTATACAAAAAATCCTCGTAGTCCCCAACTTAGCTAGATCACCCACCACTGGATTCATCTGTCCAGAAATCCATCTAATATGAACCTGTGTTCCTTTCAATCTCAATGAGAAGATGTGCCACATGTCCGTAGTATTACATTGATCAACTCAATCCTTTACAAAAAAGTCTTTTATTTATTTATTTTTTGTGGTTGTCATGCGTTAACCGTTAATATGTTGTAGTCATTCATGGTTAAATGCTTCATATCATTGTAGATTGTGTGTACGGTTTCCTGTTGCCTTTGCATTTTATAACCATCAATATAAAGGACCATTTGGTTTATCATCTTTAATAGCCCTAGTCCATATGCTTAGATAAAACATCAACTTAGTTGTTATCATTTATAATCCTTTTTGGGTTTCATTTGTAACTTTGCCCCTGATGTACAGGTGGAATGGTTGAACACAATCTCCATGGGTATCATCCATCATTTGCTGGGACCTACTCTTCCATAGTGACCAAGTCATCATGTTCTCTCAGAAGGCATGCCATGTTGTTGAATGGCCACCTAGCATCAAATTTGAATAGAAAAATTTCAGTATATTGTTCAAAGAATCTCCGAAATAATTCCTTGAATATTAAGGCAAGATCAATGGAGTCTTTACATGTTGGTTCTATTTCACCAGGAGCTGATGATGGAACAGATGTGACAATTTCACATAATGATGCCAATGACCATGCGACTTTGCAAACCAAACCTAAGATGTTCAGAAACAGATTTTTGAATTTTGTTCGTCTGGGTTCTGTTGTCAATGGTGCTGCAGAATCTTTTTTTAAGAGTGAAATACGTCGAAGATTATTTGTAACAGCTGTATTAATAGTAATCAGTCGTGTTGGCTATTTTATTCCATTACCTGGCTTTGACAGACGGTTGATACCTCAGGACTACCTTAGCTTTGTTTCTGGTTCTGTTGGTAAGTCTTGGTTATGCATATTTTCTTTGGATGCCCGATTAGATCCAAATATTTGTATTCTGAATTGATAAGACGAACATTTCCTATCTATTTGTTATTCCTTATCTGTTAGCAAGGTACAAGTTCAAATTCTTTATTTCATTTAAATGGGTTGGCCAAGGGTTGTAGGATAAACAAATATCTTTTGAAATAATTAGGTTCCATTCTAAATACATTGATCAATTATGGTTGATTTTGTAAATATTCTGTATAACTTTAGAACCATGGTTAGAAAACATTGTGAAGCATATTGCATATATGTATCAAATAACATTACAGGAAAAATGTAACCTAAATTACCTTTGGTTTGTATACCATGCCTTGTTGTTGACAAATACCCTTGGTGACGAGCTTGGTGATTTTTGGTTTGTATACTATGCCTGGTTTTTGACAGATGAGCTTGGTGATTTTTCTGCGGAGCTTAAGCTTTCACTTTTCCAGCTTGGAATCAGTCCTCAAATAGCAGCATCAATTGTTATGCAGGTTCATAACACTTTTTCCGTTTTTATGCAACTTTCTTAATTGGATGGTTCTACTATTGGTTTTTCTTTGGTTTTATTTCTCTATTATAAATAATTGCTGTCCATGGTGCTTTTCAGTGCCATAGTTCACATGGCTCAGATGATATATTTAATTACTCAGATTACTAGTTTAAAATTGGATTAAGAGTAAACCACATTTTGGTGCATGTCATGTTTGTTTTCTTTGATGTTCAAGTCAGAATGCACAGTAGACTTTCAAAACTTGTATGACAATATGGACCCCAGATACTAGGTCTGATTGCAAACTGAAATAAAGGAGGGAGAACTAAGGTAGCAGGAGATCTGCTCAAGAATAGCTAATTTTCTACAGAATATATATAAAATCGCACACAACAAAATGCTCTTTTCCAAGCACTAAAGGAGGGAGAACTAATATGGGTTGTTTCTGTTCTATCCGTTTTCCACAGTCAGTATCTATGTTTTGCTAATAGAGAAGACAACTCCGTTGTGAGGAGGTGATTGAGCTACTTCTCATTAGAGTCATTAAGTGGGCTCCGTATTTGGAGATATTTAGAGACGTATCAATGGGTTTTCTTCTTAGAGATTGGCATTTGATGTTTCACTTCTGCCCAGCTAAGCTTGTGACTGCTCTTGAGCCCCCCAACCCCCAATACAAAAAAGAAGATAAGTAATTAAAAGAAAGAAGAGAAATGAAAAAAATAAAAAAAATCTATGCTCAACTTTTACAGGTGTTTATCAGGAATCCAATTGAGTAAGTTTTGAAGGGCTGTTGTTTGGTTTAATGGTGAAATCTCAGGGTAACAAGCATGAGACTTGAGAGTTTGAGTCTGAAAATAGCTACAGTGTACAAAGAAAAGTCACAAGTTAGGTCTATACTCGGTCTACTCCTTCCAAGACCCCAGATAGCCAGGACCATCATTGGGTAATCCGGTAATGACACTTCTTGCTTCAGGGATGGCAGAGAGTAGGTCTCATTGATTTATTTGGAATCTACGAGGAATGGTAATTCATCTAGGGTGCAGCTTCTTTCCTTCCAAAATTTTAGGCTGTCTTTATCTTTGGGCCTTGACAGGATCATTGTTCAACAAGACTCTTGGACTGTAATTAGTCAATGGGAGATTACTTTTCCTGTTTGTGGAGATTTTATTGTCTCCTTTAGAGAGGTCAGATCCTTGGAACCCAGACTGAATCCCTCATATTGCTGGGTGTTAAGCATAGTTGTCAAGGCGACGCCTAGGTGACAAGGCGCCCTTTGAGGCTCGCCTCGCCTAATCGCCAAGCAGTTTTGCACTATGTATTGTAAAATACTTTTTTATTCTTTATTTTTTGACATTATAATTATAAAATAGGCACTATTAAACTAAAATATTTATTTTGTGTGTTTATATACTAATTCGTTTTTATTATTTTCTTATTTGTTAGGATTTAATCTATACAAACATTGCTAAATGCTGTATTGAACCCTCAAAGACTTTAAAACCTGAACCAAAAAGGAAGAACTTAAAATTTTGTCTAATCAACACATTTTCTACTACTACTACTACTTTTTCTTTTCTTCTTTTCCTATAACAAAAATAAGGGTTCAGTCCCTATATTTTTTGAATTTTCTTTTCCTTCTTTTTTTTTTTTTCATGAATATGTTGATTTTCTATACTTTAACATGAACTCTATACTTTTCTTATGAAAATTATGAATAATTATTAAGGAAATATGGCTATGGTACCTAGGGAACTACCCTAGGATCTATGTTTTCTATATAAAAAATCCATGGCGCCTAGGCGACTAGGTGACAAGGCGCCCCCCTGACGCCCAGCCTCACCTTGGCACCTTGAAACCAATGGTGCTAAGATCTGCAAACTCAGTTGGACATAATGTTGTTGGARATGGAATGAGGCAGACTTAATTTTATTGAGGTCTTATACTGTTGGTTTGGGTGGTTTCTATCATTCCATTTCCAGGCCTCCATTTTTCTATCATTGATTTCTTGCTGTCCAAACCTCCAATACCATTTATTGGCATTGATATTTTAATACTTATTAACATTATTTTGAGCAATTTCTTGTTATTCAAACCTCCAGTACCATTTATTGGCGTTGATATTTTAATACTTATTAACATTATTTTGGGCAATTTCTTGCTGTCCAAACTTCCAGTATCATTGTATTCCTTGAGTTCTTTGCATGTATAACACCTTTAAGCAGAAATTGTGAATCTCATATGCAGGTGCTTTGTCATGTTGTACCTTCACTAGTGAAGCTGCGGAAAGAAGGTTTAGATGGCCATGAGAAGATTAAGAGTTATATGTGTGTCTAGTTTATTCATCTCAAGCAGTGAGACGATTCCTACCATTCGTTTTCACTCTATCATGTCTTTGCTCAATATGTTGTGATGGTTCCCAACCCTTTGATTTGGTTTTCCATTTCAGATGGTGGATCTCACTTGGGTTTGCGATATTGGAAGCACTCATCCTTGCTTGTTACTCACTTCCATATTCAATCTATGCAGCTAGTCACAGGTAGTTATTGTATTAACAGTCTTAAGTTCAATAATTTTCTTGTATTTAGGAAAATGTTTTCTGACTTGATTCAATTCTTGGAAATACAACTTAGTACTACTATTTTTTTTGTCAGTAAAGAATGAGAACTTGGTTCCTTCTATTGATCAACAATTTGTATACCGTCTAAAAACACATGAATTGCTGAGTCACTTGCATTATTCCCAGTTATCACATTGTTACATGAATTGCTGTATTGGCTTGCCATTAAATGTTTGCATCTGAATAATTGATGAGTTATTACGTCCACAATTGCCTATCTTAACAGACCCCTGATTCTAGAGTTTGAATTCCACATCCTTCTGACCTTTTCACCACAAAAGTCTTTCTTTGAGACATTTTCTTCTAGTGACTCAAGGCTTTCCCATATAAAAGGATYATGGCATTCAGTTATTCCTGGAGTGTGCTTGTTTGCATGGGAAGCAGTAATAAATGGAAAAATCAATACATGTGACAAAGGTTTAGAGTATTGATACACCCGATACGCAAAAACAAGAGTATCGGGTGTTTCAATACCACAAAACATTATTTTTTTAGTTTTTTTACCCAAAATTGGTCAAGGGTCGGTTTTAGGCCTGCCTACCCCCTGAAAATGTCCAAAATTCCAAACCCCCTGTATTTAGATATTGGTGGCTTGCTGATACAATACGATACACCTGATACGGGGCTTAACATGCCAATACTTTAAACCTTGCATGTGACAAATTATAAAGGGAGAAGGGATCAACAAAAGTGCCTTCTAAATTCTAATATCATCCTGGATGTGCATAACATATCTACAGGAGGTTGAATCAGCCTCACATTAAGTTTTGCACTGCAAGGAGTCTTAAAAACTGTGGTACTTTTTTCTTGGACTAATTGGTTTGGTGTGGGTGGACCCAGGAGGGTTGATAGAGCTTCTTTAGCAGTGGAAGCTGGTTGGTTTGGGGGCTCAGGGAAAGCTTTGTTGGAAACTAATCATCCATGGGATGTATGGAAAGAGAGGAATAACTAAGTCTTTGAAGGCAAGAATGCTTTCTTTTGAGGTAAAGCCTTGGATACTTTTGGATTAGGTGATGGGGTGGATGCTTTCCTTGATGAATCCTATCCTTCCTGCAGAGCTGGCCGCTGGGGGGTTTGAGCACAAAGGGGAGAGTGGTATAGGAGTTACTTTCCATGGCTGTCTTTTGGTGTGTGTGCGTGGGGAGAGGAATTATTGGATTTTTGAAAACAAATACTTGGAGGACTAAACAGTTCTGGGCAGAATTAAGGGAAAGCTTTGCTCCTGGTTGTCAGTATAGAGTACGGCAGATTTTTTGATAGAGATGTGTTATTTTCTTGTTAATTGCTTGCTAACAGAAAATTTTCTAGTCATAATGGTATGGATGTACTTGGTCTGGTTTATATATATTTTTTGTTTATAATACAATACAATACCTTTTGACAAAAAATAAAAAAAGAATGCCTCTATTAGAGGTTGTGTGCGGTTAGGCGCAACAAAAGTGCTAGACTTCCAAACACCTGAGGCACATGGTGCAAGGTGAGGCATATGCCTAAATGAAGTAAGGCACAGCTTTTCAAAAAATTAAGAGAAAAAGCTTGGCATATAAGAATTTTCATGTCTGGATTTTATATCAAATAAAAAGCACATAAATCTCTATAACGACATACATAAGAATCCATAACCATATTTAATGAAAATCAGTGATGATTCAATATCTATGAAATGCCATAATCCAAATACATAGAAGACATACAAATCCACTAGGCATGAAGAAGGTCAAAATTAAAGTCTAAAAGTTTCATAATAACCATATAATAAGTAAATCATAGAAGAGGCATAGGAGTGTAGCCCCTGTTTTAGGTAGGAAAAGAAGAACAGGACTGTTGTTTCAGTGGATCCTTCAGTTGAAAAAAGGAAAATTATATATACTCGTTACAGTAAGGATCATACCAAAGTATTTCCAGCATTCAATAATTCAAGCCCTATTTTACCTAGATAAAGCCAGGATATCATAGTTGTCAAGGCACCTGCCTAGGCGACAAAAATGACAAGGCGAGTGCCTTTTATAGTATCATTTGTATTGTTGTATATTATTAATGTATGTGTTAATACATTTTATTATATGTTATATATCATTATACTTTGTTTTAATGTTTTATTATTGAAATTTAAAAGATCAAAGGGTTTTGAGGAGAGAAAAAGAAAGAAAGAAAGAAATGAAAGAGGAAAGAAAGAATAGAATAATAAAGTCTTTTTTTTTCTATTCTCTCTCTAATTAAATAAAACAGAAACTCCATCCATGTTTTTTTTTTCTATTTTACTTTCCATCTTGAATATTTATCATATAAAGTTAATAACCTTCTTTAGCTGCTAATTAATATGAATTTACTCTATTAAATACTTATTGTAGTAGTATTATTTTTGAAAATAATGAAATTAATATATGTAAAAGATTTTTATCTTTTAGATGTGAAGATTTGCCACATTTTTAGAGGAAATTTAATGTTCTTAATAAAGAGAATTGCTATTTTTTCAATTAACATACATGTTGAATGGTATATAAAACTAGGAAACTAGTCAAAAGTCAGTTTTTTTTATATTATAAAATTTTTATCGCCTAGGCAATGCCTAGGCGCCTGCTTAGGTGACCCAGTGTCGCCCAGAATTGCCTAGATGCCTTGAAAACTATGCAGGATATGGCTGGACATGACATCGGATATGAAATTTACACTAACATTTTGAAGTATTTGACATGATATGATACCTGTGTACAGGTATCTGAGTATCATAATTCAAGCCTATGAAATTCATCAACGTTTTTCTTTCTCCTAGACTCCTAGTTGCATCATTTCAAGGAGCTAGTGTTATGTTGGATAGCTTCTATTCCTAATCTTTGCAGGTTGGGGTTCGTGCCTCTTCCAAGGCTGATTGTACTCTTCTTTTTGTTCTCTTTAATAAAAGTATTTATTCATTCATCAAAAAATCTTTGCAGGTTGGGGTGTTTACAGAGGTGGAGGGCTGGATTTTTGGCCCATATATACAAGGGAGTTGATGAGGGTGGGCCTTAGCACAACGATTGGGTTGCTCCATTGCGACCTGGGTGACCAGAAATTTTGGAAACAACCTCTCTGTATGTACAGGGGTAAGGTTGCGTACATCTGTCCCTCCCCAGACCCTTCATTGGCAGAAGCCTCGTGCATTGGGCTGCTCATTTATATATATAAGGGAGTTGATCTCTTGATTTTGGTTGCAGTTCACCTTGTTTTAGGTTTATTTAGAAGTTAATAAACCATTAGAAAGGTGTAAAACACATTAGAATATAATAAAAAGGAAATCATTCTCTTGGATTGCCTTGCACCTCAGCCCAGGCACACCTTTTAAAACACTGCCTGTTCTTTGTAAATTGTTGGGCCCTAGCAACAGAGGAGTTCAAGAGTGTACCCTTTTCTGGTATGTAGGGAAATCTGGTGGGGATTCTACATTCCTCCCCTCCATATTCCCATTCTTAGGAAGCCCCAATTTCTGAAATAGTTGGCCTGCCGTTAATGCACTTTGATGTAAGTGCTCATGGGAGGTCCAACCAGTACTGGGGGGAGTATTTCTGACAACACGAGTGCCATCATTTGGGCCTACAGTGGGCCAATTGAAGATGTGGATACAACAAAAGCTGAAGTACTGCTTACAGGTTGAAGGATAGCTAAAATGCATAATATGTGCACCTAACCATTATAGCTGTAATATTTCTGATGGGAGATGAAATGCCGTTTTTTGTATATTGGCAGCTCTTTATGACTTTACCTGTTTATTTTTTTAGAGGATGGGGTTGTTAATAATCTCTTTATATATATTCAAGTGCTTCTTATATGTACACCTTTTGCATTTATTAATATTTTTGGTAATAAAATAAAATTTATTAAAAGGAAAAAAGAAATTAAACAGGAGAGTGACCATAAGTCACTCAAGAGAGAAAAAGGAAAACAGAACATCAAAACCCATACAATCACTCCAAGCTGACCAAGCCTAAAAAAAACCAACAAAAAGACAACAAAACACAAATCTCCAAAGCCAAAACCCCTTAGGAACAAACAACCCTAGACAACAGCTCTAACACCAAAGCCAACAAAGATATAACCATAACAGAACCTACTTGTATCATTTTTTCTGTTAAGTGCATTTAAAAAAAGTTTGCATTTCGATGTTCTGACTAGTTTTCTGCAACCCATGTGGTTTATTTACTTATGTGATGGTACAAGTAGAGAAATGCACTTTTTAATAATTAGTACTAAAATAGTCAGCTTGAACCACTTTAATGTTGGTCTGGTTTCTTATATTAGTTTATTATTCATCAAGAAGTAGATTCAGTAGCTGTGTATTGTTCCATTCAATAGTTTGTTATGTGTTGGTCTCATTAGAACAATTACTTCCTCATGGCTGGTTTRACCTAATTACCTTTTAGCTTCCATAGGATGGTTGTGATAACTTTGGTTAATTGTCTAGATCTCTTCTCTTTCCGCTCCCACTTTTTTCTTTTTATTTATTAAGATTCCACTCCATTGTGTATCCATTTTTCAACCACCTTAGAGATGGTAATTTATGTCAATGCTTTATTACTCTAAAAAATTTATTTTGTTTGCAGACTCAAGCATGTGATAGTGACAACATTTTTATTGGTCTGCGGTGCAATGACCATGACGTGGATTTGTGATAAAATATCAGACTCTGGATTTGGTAATATTCTCTGATATTGGTTTATTTGCCAAATGGTGCTAATGTAATCATAAGCATCTGTTTTGTGGATGACAATGGTCATATTGCAATTTCTAGCTACTGATGCTTAATAGTCTCGGTATAATTTTTCTGTTAATTTGATATTCTTAGACCTTCCTCACTTTTGTTCCTAGAAATATCTTTAATTTTCCCCAAGAGCTTTATCTTTTTACTTGAATACAAGTATCTTGTGTGTGAGAAAATTATTCAGTTGAGAATCTTGAGATCAAGGTAAAAATTGATACAAATCAGTAAATCCATATTTTTTTATCATAATAGAAATTCATTAAAAATCAAGAATGCACAAAATGTATATGAAGGAAAACAAAACAAAACGGAAGAAAGAAAAAAAAAAGAGGTGAGATTATAGTCATTAAAACTGAACTTTGCTTCTATTGATCCTGTGATAAATCAATAGCTGATAGGTTAGCCAGGAAGGTTTCTTGTGACCAATGGAAACTTCTTTACAACATAGGGGCTGGGATTTCATATTTTGGTCTATGCTTTCTTCTTTTCTCTTGGAGGGGCCTTCTTTTATATGCCAGTTTATTGGTATGGGTCCTGTTCTTTTCTTAAGCTTATTTAATAAAGCTTCTTTTGATACCAATCAAAGTAAAAATGACACATATACAAATAAGTTCAAAGAAAAGAAAGAAATAGAGGAAATCTCAACAACTGTCAAAAAGAGAAAGCAGTTCTGTCCTGCATTTGTACCAGATTGCTATACATGCATCCAGCCTCTCAAAAATTCAACACTGAACATACCAACCCATGGCACAAAACAACCCTTGCCTAGATGCAGTAACCCCCCTAGATCCTCCCTGAGGCACAAATTGTTAAAAAATCTGCAGAGGCAGTGTCCATATTTACTCTTGAACAAAGAAAAGCAATGTTCTAGAAACCCATAGACAAAATGATATAACAACAAAGTGATGGTTATTCTCACTGCTTATAATGACTTCTGCTCAAATCAACACCCTCTAGATTAAGGCTTGTTGAATTGAAGCCTTATTCTCAAATATTTGCTATGTGAATCCTGTCTCACCATTRAACTTAATCAAAAGTCACACAACAATTCTGGGTTCATGTTCATACAGGTTTTGCTAAATGTTTTTATGCCTGCTGCCTACCTGACACAGCCCTCCTTTATCCAGGCTTGGGGCCGGCAGTATCCAATATTTCCCCATATGTGCATCAAAAGATAGTCTCAGAAGACTCCCTATCTATCCTTTGTTACATCTGTTTTTGGGTTCTTTTTCCAGAACAGGAGGTGTTTCCCCAAAAGTCCTTTGCTTTGGGTCTTCTTCACTGAACTTGAGTGACCCTAAAACCCTAGGAGGGGGGGGGGGAGAAATGTTGAAGCCTTTGTGGAAAATAAAGTGAAATAAGGATTGAAAATTTAATTATATTGCTGCCACAATAAGACTCCAAACTCAATGAAACAAAGAAAACAGACCAAACTAAACAACCAAACCAAAAGAAACCACCATATCAGTCCACCAGCAAACCCAAACAACAGACTTTTTAACCAATGACAACAAATAAACCAGACCCCCAAACCCAACCAATGATGACACATGCACACACCCCTTTGCTGATAGCATATTGGTCTTCTCAGGTATTTGGTAGGAGAGGCAAGGTGCTATGGCAATTGGTTCCAGGTGCTCTATCTTGGTCTATATGGTTAGAGCRCAATAAAAGAGATTTTGATCAATCAAAGCTCGGAGATAGCAGACTGAAGGAATTCATTGATTTAAGGCTAGATCAGTTTGCAATTCAACGGGAGGAAATTCTTTTCGATAATATTATAAGAGTTAATAGTTGCCATATCTTATACTCGTGTCAGTGAAAGCTGAAGACTGGAATTATTCTTTTTGTAATTACCTTTGAGGGAAACCTTTTGAGTAATACAAATCTTACTTATTTATAAAAAAATAAGATTATTAAAACTGACTTCAGAAGGTGTAATTTTCTTTCCTAATTTAATAAAATCCTTTCTGGTGCTGATAAAAAACTGACTCAGAAGGAACAATAATCCTTTTGTCTAGTTCTCAAGTTGTATCCACCAGGCTTGAGAAAAGTATGGCCTTGGATTTTTTGCATACAGCTTCCTTTTTATTTGATATAGAGAGTTACAGCTCCCAAAGAAATGCAGGTGTTCAATTATATGTAGATCCATGGTTACTATATATTGTTTCCTAATCAGGAAATGGGTATATTAGAGGAGAAAGAAAACAAAGCAGTGCTGTCCAATCATGTGCTTTGTAGCTGTTAGATTTCATGCTAAGAAGTGTTCAGATACCTTAATTTTGTGTCTCTAGAATGTTTGCTTCAAACAATGACAACATTATGCAATTTATTTGAATGGCTTTCTGGTGAATCATATTCATTCTTTTATATTATATGATGGCATGGTAATAATATTTCCCCCTTTCTGATTGGTAATGCATGCTTTAGGTCAAGGGTCGTCCCTGATAATATGTGCTGGAATATTGACTGGCTACACGGATACTTTGTACAAGATGTTGTCTCAACTCTCAGGTTCTCATCGTCGGTTTCAACTTTTCCCTGTTATACAACAATTGTTTGGAGAAATAAATACTAGAGTTATTCATATCTACCCTTTTCCCTTTAGGATTTTCTGAATGATGTGGATTTCCTTTACTCAAATAATGGGTCTGTTTACTGGAATGGCTGGAGAAATGCATTCATCCTCTTCGTATTGCTCTCATACTCTTGCATATTTGTTAGCATAGTGGATAAGGATGCCAAACAAATAGGTTCTGTTCTGTAAGAGATCTTTTATTGTTATTAAAAGCAAATTTTGTTAAAGTAAAAGGGAATTAGACATGGAGCACATTGGACCAACAGCCAAAGAATGAGGGCAAGGATAGAAGGCCACCCTGCCAACCCAGAACCCCATACATGAACCACCTTTTTCCAAAAGGATCAATCAAACACAAGAAGGAACAAGGGATCAACCATCCACCCCACTAAAAAGAAAACCAAAGCCATATAAATCTTGAAACATAATCCATTCAGAAGATGAAATACCACTCAAGTGAACCCTTTTAAGAAAAATCACAGATCAGCAAAACCCTGCATCACTGAACAGCACTGCCAAAGACCAACAACCAAATTAGAAATGTGAAAAACCAAATAACCCAAACTCCCCTTGCTCCACCAATCAACCTCTGCCATTAAGATTTGTCCCTTCTGCTTGGCCCGTACCTCTCATGCTCTTGGAGACATCTCTAATTTTTCACCGCTCTTCCCCTCAGGAGAGCTTGGTTCTAGCATAACCCACCTGAGCTGTTCAGATTCTTTGGGCGGCCCCTCAGAAAGACCACCATCAACTTGCTTATGACTTGACAAGGTCACCTCAGGACCTTCCAAATTCTCTTTGAAAGTGGCTGTTACAACTTCCTCATTGCCCTGAAAAATGCTGCCCAGGGACTTCACTACATAAGCAGAGTGTCTTGCTGCCACCTGAACAGCACCGGATAAGAGCAAAAAGGCCTCATTGAGTTAGAATATTAGCTTGATTGGAACCACCCTTTGAAACCTCGGCAGCCTTGGAGAGACAGCTTGGACCTCAAATTAGTATCCTCTCTTCCATAGCCACTACAACTTCTTTGTACCTATCACCTGACACTCTCGTTGACCCTTCGGTAACAGGGTGTCAGAGGTTAGTTGGAGGTGTCCCCAGACAGAGGACAAGATCAGAGTGGACCAATTTCACCACTGGAGGAATGAATCCCAGGTTGTCTGATGCTGATCTTTCTTCTGCTTTGGTCCCTTGAATCCCTTTCCCCATGAAGAACATCACAGAAGTTTGGCCACCATTCCTCACCCTCCAAGCTCAAAGTTGGTTATCCATTGGATCCAAACTATGGAGATCTTTTATGTCATTAATATGGATGCAATGATAAGAGGCTGAAGCACTGTAGTTAGATGAGATCCCAATAGAGATAAGATTGTTCATGACTCAACAATCCCTAGTGGGAATGCCATTGCACTCAACTTTGATATTCAGTGGCAAATCCTGGCTCCTCTGGTATTAGGATAATGTATTCAGGACAGGTGATGGCTGATGCTTGTGGAGAGTCCAGTGGGTTTAGGGGATTCAGCAAGAACATGTTGGTATCACTTTTATAAGGGACTTTACCATCTATCTCTGTGGTCCATGTGAGTTCAAATTGGAAGGACATTCCTAGATTGTGATTGATCAGATGAGGGACAGATCCAGTGGGCCTAGGAGTCTCAGCTACCAATTAAAAGAGATGTGGGCTCTGATTGCCAAATTGAACCCACCCAGATCCACCAATGTATTCTTTGACTGTTGCAATGGACATATAACTTATACTATGGCAATTATGGTTCTTTCTTAYGACATTCTGTACCATCACTGTTTGGCTGCTTGTACTTTATCTATATTTGCCATATTGCAGGAAGTGTTGTGAGTTGGTGGCCGTACATTCTTGTGGTACTTGGTGTTTTCACTGTAGTTACCATGTGGGCAGTTGTGGTAACGGAGGGTTGCAGAAAGATAAAGTTGCAATATTATGCTTTCAAACTTGCTTCTGCTGCAAGGTCAATTTCTAATCATTGTTATCCTGATATTCAAAGTGGGGTTGTTTCTTGGCAAGCTACAAGCCTGCTAATTTTTCTCATATGACTCCATAAAATTTCATTAGATGATTTTTAAAGAAAATGTTTTTATTTTCTTGTTATTTGGTTCATATAATGCATTATGTTATCTTACTGTTGTACTTTCTAATAGTTGATTGAAACATGATATGCACATACTGATACTTATCAATGTCATTTGGTATTATGGGCAGAGATGACTCTCCAATTACTGAGGTGGAACCTTATATCCCTTTCAACATTAATCCATCAGGAATGCAGCCTGTTCTCACCACTACTTATCTCTTGGCATTTCCAAGCATCCTTGCAAGGTTATTCTCCCAACAGTTAGTTTATACATGTTTATCTTTTCACCTTTAGGATACATAAATAGCAGAGGATTTTCAATTGAAAGTCTATCTACCTGACTTGCATAGGTTTAAACTCTGCCCAGTATAACTCCAAGCAATGTCTACTAAGGTTGGATCCAGGTTAGAAGTGCCCAACCCCCACCCAAAAAAAATGTCACCTTAACCAGAAAAATTGAACAGAAAAAAGAAACCAATCAACCATTTTAAAACAGAACCCTGATAATCAACCTGGATTTCCTCATAATTGGGTTGAGAATTTCAACCTGATGACCTGGTCTCATACATGGCATCCCTATACCATCATAATTTTTAAGTTTCAAACATTTATAATTACAGCATTTCATTTTATTTTTGAAATATCAATCATACTCTAGACGTTCTGTATAGAAAAGTTCCAGTAGGTCATGAAAATGTCAAAGAATTTCAGCTTGGCTTGGTGCATCTCAATTTGACTGATCTGACTCAATCATGGGACAAGTTTGGATTGAGAATCAAATCTTTTCTTGGGCTTCAATTATCAAATTACAAGTCAGACTTAGGTCAGATAGGGTTTTGATTGAGGGTTCAGGCAATTCTTTCCAACCAAAGCCCAATAATACATATTCAATTTGCTTATGCAATCGTGGGATTTCTTTGACCTATATACAAGATGAGATCATGAAAATGTTTGTCTAGTAGTGAGTCATTGTGGGCCCTACCATGTCTGTAGCCTGGTTTTTAAGCCACTGAGGTGAGGCTAGGTGATAGGGGGTGCCTTGTCCCCTAGCCGCCTAGGCAGGCACCTAGGCCTTGCCTAGGTGATGGTTTTTTTTTTTTTTGTCCGAATAAAAATCATGAATTTAGGGTAATACCCTTGGTTCCATAGCAACAGCAACCATCTTTGACTATTAATTGTCTATAATCTTCATAAGAAAATTTATAATCTTCATTTAAAGCATAGAAAATCAACATATTCATGAAAAAATTGAAGAAAGAAAAGAAATTTCAGGAAATAGTTGGGCTGAGCTTCTATTTTTTTTCCTAGGAAAATATGTGTTTTGGACAAAATTTTGAGTTCTTCCATGCCTATTAGTTCAGATTTTGAAGTCTTCGAGAGTTCAAGATAGTATACTTGATTGAACCCTAACAAATAAGAAAAATAATAAAAAGAAACTAGTATTTTAACTCAAATTGAATAATTTAGTTTAATAATGTCTGTTTTATTTTTATAATCTCAAAAAAAGTTAAGAATATAAAAGTATCCTAGAGGTGGCCTCTATTTTATATGATAAGTGGGTTGTTCATGTATCATTTGGTGTAGTAATAACAGACATGCCTTTGCTGGGTTATTTGTTTTTTCGTTTAATTGATAACAGCATATTTGTGCTGGATGGTCACAAAAAATTGTTGTGACTTTGTGAACTCATGAAAACCAAATCACCTAGGCATGCACTCACTAGGTGATTTGGTTTATCCTTAGACTTGTAGCATGTTTGGATTTTTTTAGAGGCTCAGAAAGCATTATGATTATGTGAACTCATTACTCCACATGTTAGGCTACCTTTGTATTTCTTGATATTTTCAGTAAGGTAGTGGATTCTAGAGGTAGTCTCCCTTTTATCATATAACGGGTAGTTCATGTATCACTTGTGGTAGCAAGTAGCAACAACAAGCATGCACTCACTGGGTAAGTTCATCTTTCATTTGATTGATAAAATGTTTATATTTACTAATTGAAACCAAATCACCTAGGCATGCACTTGCAAGGTAATTTGGTTTTAAGTTTGATTATTAGCATGTTTGTGACTTATTGGATGATGAAGAAAGTGTTGTGACCATGTGAACTCATCGGAATCAAATCACCTAGGCATGCATCCACTGGGTGATTTGGTTTTTCATTTGATTGATTGTAGTTTAGTGTTTTATTGGAAGGCAACAGGAAAGTATTGTGACCATATGAACACACCATAACACATGTTAGGCAACCTTGGCATATCTTGCTTGTCATAGTAAGGTGGTAGACCTTAGAGGTACTCTCTATTTTTTCATATGTTAGTGGGTTGTTATTGTATCATTTGGGGTAGGGAAATGGTATGCACTCATTAGGCATTTTGATTATTAGCATGTTTGTGTTTTATTGTAGGATTACAAGAAAGTGTTGTGACCATGTGAAATCATCAAAACCAAATCACCTAGGCATGCACTCATTCAGTGGTTTGGTTATTTGTTTGATTAATAGCATGCTTATGTTTTGTTAGAGGATAACAAGTGTTGCGACTATGTGAACACATCAAAACCAAATCACCTACACGCACTCGCTGAGTGATTTGTTTTTTCATTTGATTGATAGTGTTATATTTTATTGGAAGATCAAAAGAAAGTGTTGTGACCATGCAAGCTCATTTCTCCTCATGTTAAGCTATCATTGTATTTCTTTATTGTGAATGTAAGGTAGTGGAATCTAGAGGCATGGTGTTTTTGTTTTGACCAATAACAGAAGTACAGACCCATTAAAGAAACTACCAGAAAAGAAAGTACAACATGAGGGAGAGGTAAGCTCTTAACTCTCCCCTTAAGAAGCAACAACTTACAAAATAACCCAAAACAAATGATTCCTTCCCACCCCTTGTTTCGCAAGTGTATCTGCAAAAGGATTAGCTCAACGTTTTTTGAATAAAACCCGTATTCTACCATTAATTGTTGCCTAGTTGCCTTGGTGATTTTTTTAAATAAAAACTATGAATCCTAGGGTGATTCCTTAGATTTCATAGCAGGAAACAACCATCTTTCACTATTAATTGTCTATAATCTTCATAGAAAATAATCAATATGTGTTGATTGGATAAAATTTTGASTTCTTCCATGCTTATCAGTTCAAGGCAGTATATATATTGATTGAACCCTAACAAATGAGAAAAGAGAAACTAGTTTTTTAAATTAAACTGAATAGTTTAGTTTAATAATGTCTATTTTATTATTATAACCTCAAAAAATTAAGAATATAAAAGTATCCAAGAGCACCATGTAAAAAATATCTTGGTGATTAAGGCGACCCTCCATGGGTTCCTTTGGTGCCTAAGCCATCACCTTGACAATTATGGTCTGTAGGGTGAAGTTTGCAAGAGTTGTATAAACTTGTTGTTTACTTGAATTCCTCTTTAACTATTTATAAATATTTATTGCAAGAACATTAACAAGAGTGATATTCGCTTTAGAGGCTTGAGCATTGCATAGACATTCAGATGAGTTCATTTCTTGCCAAATTCATTATTGTGTTTGAAGCTTGTATGCATTCTTTATAAAGTTTTTCCCATCTGTACTCACCTTGTATCAGTGATTTAAAAGGCGTGCCTAGGTGCACAATTGAGGCACATTTTAGGGTATGCGCCTTGCCCAGGTCCTAGACACGGCCCTTTCAAAAGGCACAAGCCTGGTGCGCCTAGGCATGCACCTTGTGCCGCAGCCCAGGCGTGCACATTCTCAAAATTGTGCGCTTTTTTCTTTTTTTCTTTTTTGAATCTGATAGCTGGGCCAGGGGCTCCACCCCTGACCATGCCCCTTGAGGCAAGCCCGAACAAGTCCATGTTAGGGTCTTAAATTCTTATTTCTCACAAAAAAAATAATGATTTTGTAATTTTAATTGCCTTTTAAGAAGATATTTTATTAGGATGAATGAATGAACAACATTAACAAATAGGGGGTTCTATTCTGCTTTGGTGTTGTTCATTCATTCATCCTAATAAAATATCTTCTTAAAAGGCAATTAAAATTATAAAATCATTATTTTTTATGTGAGAATTAAGAATTTAAGATCCTAACATGGACTTGTTCGGGCTTTCCTCGAGGGGTGTGGTATAAAGGCGACTCGTAGAATCAAGAATGCAATCTGTTTTGCATCACATTAGCTACTTGAATTAATGCAATTGAGGAAAAAAAGAGATTGTGGGTTTTACATGCTTGAAAATGCTTTATATGTTTGATTTTATTTTTAAATTTTCATTTGAATATGCTTTACATGTTATGTTTATGTATTTGAATTTTAGATAATAGGTTTTTTAAAACTTAAGTTTATATTTTTATTAATATTATGTTTAACTTTTTTGAATTTTCTGACTTTTTTTTTTGTATTTTTGCACCTTGCACTTTTAAAACACTGCCTTGTATGACCTAATTCTTCCTGACCTTATTTGTTCTTGGATTGAGGAATAAGTATCTTGGGTTGTATGCGGGTTAGTTTAATACTACATTGGCATTTGTTTGGTCCTCAACCTGATGGAACCCATCCAATTTCTCCATTAGTTGATATACTAACACCTAACTGTGCCTCATACTGTTCTTTTGGCACTAACAACTATTTGATGTGCACTTGTGCATTAAAAATTCTTGGGTTGGCAAGCGTGAGAACACAAATTTGAGTTTGAGAGTGGCCACTTTGTGTAAAAAATGCCAAAGGTTAGGACCACATCCAGTCTACCCCTCCCAAGACACCAGATAGCTGGGACCAACATTGGGTAATGGACGTTTTTATGAGTTAAAAATGATCTAAATAATTGGGATTGATTTTAATGGTTGTTATCATCCAATTTTTCTGTCTTTTATGCAAGAGTGTAGAGGGATTTGTCAAGCATTGGTCTCATCCCCCTTCATACACATCATACATTTCCATTGTATACCCTTGGTGGCATACAGATGATGATACCATAAAATTCCTTTTGCATTTACCAGCCCAATAACTCATGATACTGACATGTAGAAAGAACAACTTTTGTACTGTGCTTTATTTCCAGAATTCTCCTTATCAGGAAAAGGCTATTCATCCAACTTTCTAATATGAATCCTTTCTTTGCAGTCTTCTTGGCTCACCATTTTGGGAACACATAAAAGAGATATTGAACCCCAACACTTCAGTTGGTGCAGAACCATGGGTTTACTATTCTATATATGGTTTTTTTGTCTTTGTATTCAATATATTTGACATTGTAAGTTTCACATGAACTTAGTATTGGATTATTCTGAAATTATGAATGTTATCTTGATTAAACTTCTAAAATGATTGCTTGTGTTATATTCTGCTTTGGGTAATGTTGCAAAAAGCTCAAGAGAAAACTAATGAYTTTTGGCTCAAGCCTTATATGGTAACAAAGGATCAGGGCCTACCATTAAATGGAGCCCATGTACTAGATAATATGGATCAAAATTCAAATTGATCACTTTTGAGTAATTTAATGACAACTGTGGTAAAAAATGACCTAACCATGCTGATTTTTTGGCACATCAATCTCCTAGGCGAGACATCTCAAATGGTTGGTCTTGATCCTCAGTTACATGCAAAACTATATGGTTTATAGATCAAAATAAACTAAATGTCTTTCATTTAAACTCGAACTTTTTGCAATTGTCAATCTCATGCATCTGCTCCTAGGGTTGCATTGGATTAAGAGGAATTGCTAATCCCACTTTTGTGATACAATGACAACCTGAGTGTCATCCTTTTACACTAGTTTCTTCTTAAACACCACCATCATATGGAAACAAAAGTATAAAGAGAGAGATTTATATAGATTTTTAGGTGTATGTTTTTTCCTTTTTTTTTCCTACTGAGTTGGTTTATGTTACTTTTTTACTTGATGCACTAGAAATATCTCATGAAATCATAACCTCAAGATAATCTTTGTAAAATACTTTGATGTTGTACAGGGGGTTTTTCCCCTCTATATGCACAAGTAGTGTAGACAGAATGGTGGACTTACTTTTTAATGAGACCCATATAATGCAATTTTGACATTCAATTTATGACTAAATATGCAGATATAGTGCAGGTTGATGATGGGATTGCTAGTTTCACTTCTCTTTCCCCAGATATGTCAACTTCTAGAGTTTTGGGCAATCAAAAAGAAACAAACCTACAAATTATTGTAGTGGAGATGAGGATGTTGCAATGGATGCGTGGCAATACCAGAAATGAGTTCATTTGTGTAGCGTAACACTACTCACTCTAGGAACCAAAATAAGTGAAAGTAGACAAATCATTTTGTGAATGGAAGACCATCTCTTATGCTAGTGAGAAATGTTTTCTGGAGGCTGCCAAGGATATTGACGATGGAAAAAATGACTCCAAATCCCTGGAACATAAGCACAGGAGACAAGGAGACAATAGGTTCTCTGATCATTAGTTTTACAAGGAGAGCAGGTGTGGGAGATAGGGATCAATTGAATTTCACAAGTTTGAACCTTTTGGGGCATGACCTGCCAACAAAAGGTTCTAGTTTTCCACATTTTCAACAATGGTGACATTGTTAAGTCTATGTGGGGTCAGTTATTATACTCTTGGGTGGGGGTTCATAAGCCTTTCAAAGACATTAGTTATAGTAGAAATCTGCTGAATTAAAAAAATATGAAAGAAAGTAGTTTCTTGAAGAGAGAAGGAAGAGAGAAGGAGAAGAAGAGAAGAGGAGAAGTTGAAAGAAAAGAGAGCAATAATCTGGCCGCCCCCTTCACTTATTATTTATACTAAAA